AAGGAGAAGACGGCCCTCAAACACCTGTAGGGAATGTACGTCAAAAATAACGGTCCCTTGGGGGCTGTCTACTGCAATTTCGGGCATTGTTTATTAGAGCAGTTAAGGTAGAAATGAATGGTGTGGTTATCACACAGCCTTTGAACTGTCACCATCTGGTGGTTTGGCAAGTGGGTTTAAGATCTCTTTGAACTTCCAAATCACCCGGAAGGCAGCTACACATGAAGGGACGCCATCAGAGTGTTTTAGGCAAGGGGGTAAGATAATCCAATTTACGTTTTCAGAAATATCACCCTGGCTGCTGAATGGAGGGACGGGCAAGAGGCCTTGAAGGAGAGGGCAAAGTAAGAGAGGACGGCTCCGACCGGGGGCAGCAGGGGTGGAAGCATGATAGGAGCTACAGTTCCAAGCTGGAATTGACAAGACGCACTAGGGGTTTTGGTCATTTCCAAGGGATTTTTTTAATCATTTCTATGAAGTAATTTCTGTAATCACAAAAATCACAATATGAGAAAGTTTGAAAATTACCTTTGGGCTCTCAGCTAATACTCCATCATCCACCTATTTCAAATAAGCATCTCCAAGGACCTCTCTTTCTGAATGTAGAATAGCTCCCGTGTAACATAATCTTTTTAAAGGTGTAAGATTTTAGCTACATGTAACTCACAATTCTAACCTACTTCCCCAAATCAGAAAGGTGTTTCAGGTTTTAAGATTAAGACTTCAATGTCAGGTATTAGTACCATAAAGAGGCCCCACTAAGCCTGTGTCTATACATGTTTTTAATAAAAATATTTGTAAAAGAACATTATAAATTATAAACCACTAGAAGCATTGTTATTATCACAGAAAGGTAGTAGATTTCTTAATAAAACCTTTAAAAACTTACCAAGAGCACAAAATTTTCAAAGAAAGATTACATTTCATTTCTAAAGTTACATTCTATGTTTTTAGCTTCAGACCAATTTAAAAATATTGGCAGAGTTCTCCACATATGCTAAAAGGTATCTTCCATTATGTAAAGAATCTATCATTTATTGTTAAAGCAAGGTACCATAATTATTTGTAATGAGTATTACTTAAAATAATATTTGAGTCTCTACATCATGAGATTTCATGAAAATGATCATTTCAGCACACTTGGAATTCATAATCTAATTCTAAATCAATATTTACAGACTCAAAAAAGAAAGGCTGAATACGTATTAAATTCATCCCTGGAACAGCATTTTGAATAGAAAAATCTCCACTCCTTCATTGTCTTGGTTAGATTTTGATTACTTATTAGATTTCACAATTAAATGCTTATATTTACTCTTCTTGAAATGTCAGTGATTTAAGAATCACTTCTCTCTAAAGCACACCAGACTTACAAATACATTAAAAAAGAAAATCTTGGTCTATTAAGCACATCTGTTCTAAACTCAAAAAAATCTTTCCATCAGCAGTTCTCAGCCAGGCATGTATTTGCTTCTAAGAGTCTCAGACATCTAAGAAAGAATTACACTTGCATTCAAAAAATTTTAGAGATGAAGAAAGTGGAAGTGAACAGTGAAAGTGAAGGTCTTGTATCAGGATTTCGGACGAGTACAGATGGAAAGGAGAATCCATATCAAGTGCCAAAGGCTGCATCCCAACACGACTTTTCTGACAGTCAACAACTGTATGGGAACTTTGAACATTTTCGCCTATAATTACTCCACAGTGCTATTTCTAATTGTACCATAAAATTCTTGTTCTGTTGTAATTTATTACAAAACAATCAGAGTATATATCAAAATTACATGGGACTAATATTTTTATTATTCAATTTTTAAATACTTTTAAGCATTTTGAAATACTTCATAAAAATGAGCACATATATGTACATACCACGTCTCTTCTAAAAGCTCTAAGAATCTCACAGATTCCTTCTTAGGAAGTAGAGATATTTTTAAAAGTTATCTCATATAGATAATTCAAATCATGTTTTTTCTTTATCTCTGCTTAGATTAACTTTCCATCATCTACAACAGAAAAATCTTCCTTCATTCATTGTTCATATTTGTAGTTTATCTAACTGAAAAATGTACTTAAAAGTTTAAACAGTTGAACAAATTGTCTGCAAGAATTTTGAGGTTTCGTCTGTTCAAAAATTCCTATAATTATATTCAGCATAAGGATCACATATGCATTAATATATACTTCTGTACGGGCATTCAGATACAGAACCAGTTTACACTGTAAAATGCTACATTGATTTAGTATTTTTCTCATCTGTAAAGCTTTGTTAAAGTAGGTATTTCCCCTTTCAATACCCAAAATATCATTTTTATATAGATAACATTGGACATTTTAAAATATACATGTCGTTTTGTAAGCTAAATCAAAACCATGACTTTTTCCTAAAACAGTTGCTACATAAATATTAAATTAACGTGAAAAAAAAAAAGGATTAGGCTAACGTTTTCCAGTCTGCACTGCCCACTAGTGGCAAAAGGGAGTAAATGCATATTACTTTTAAAATTAAGACTAATTTTACCTTAAATATCTGTCTGAATGAAATTTAGAGCCTATTACATATAAGGGAAATACACATACACTCTAAAAATAATATGTTTTTTGTACTGTGATCTACTTTTCCTCTATAACATTAATTTAGTGTCGATGCTCAGAGACAGCATGTTCAGATAGGTACCTCTGAATATAAATACTATGAATCTGTATATAAATGCATGTGCAAAATTTAAGCTAGGAAAAAAAAAACTCTGACAATCTAACATGAGTCCATAGAGGAGAAATGAACTATATCTGGCTTGTTGGTTTTGTTTAATTTACCCATCAATCACTTGCTGAAAACAAACCTGAAGCGACATTCACGTGGCATCTCACAAACCGAGAAAAATGCTGCCTATCACGTCTTTAGTAAATAATGGAAGAATGTTTTCGATTACATGAATGATTGAATGGTCAACTTCTTCAGAGAGCTGTGGGTGTGCATGTGGTTTGAATGTGTATGTATGCATGTAAGTACGGATATGTACACACAGCACACACACCACTAAAAGTTAACTCATTTGAGATTATTCGGCATGTCACTAGTTTTATTCAGTGTTTTTCTTTTTTTTCTATTTGGAAATATTCTATCTCACATACTTACTGGCTTTAGTACAGACAATACGTACGATAAATCTGTTGTTTAAATAATGAATATTAATAGATCACTGACATGGAAAGGTTCAAGACAGCATCTTATTGGTGAAAATGCAAAGGAAAAATGTCAAAGGCACTTGGTGGATCCTGAATGATTATAAGATGATATGAAAAGCCCCTAAGTACATGTGCGATAATCAATATTTTCAGACTGCTTCACAAAAGCGTAAGATAAATATGCTCCTCATAGGTGCTGTGATATAATGACATCTTCAGCAGTCATCTCACACATGCTCGGAATGAACAGTTAATTGTGTCATGTGGTTGGATCATTAAAAATATGTTCTTTGAAAGAACAAGATTTCTTAAGGCCTGAGTTGTCTGAGTGCACTAGTGGCAACGTGAGTTTAAATATTCTTGTAACAGAGGAAATTCGACTTCTTAACCTCCTTCCCTCTTGCCTGTGAAGCCTTCTGCCCTCTAGGTTACACAGCTGAACAGAGAAATCCATCACTTCCATTTCTTCCTTTCCACCCCATGTCTCCATACCTCTTTCATAGTTTCTGACTTCGATTCCTTCAATTCTTCATACTTCCATTTCCATACAGACAAAGCTGACTCCAGTTGTTCTATTTCTTTTTCGAGAGAGGAGCGCATTCTAAGTAAAGAATCAAGAGCAAAACAGACAAACTTTTTAAATTTTAGGAATGCATTCAATTTTAGATTTTTCTATTTCCCTAATTTTTTATATTTGTGTGTGATCATTGTAATGACAGAGAACTTTTCTCAGATGATTAAGAATAATAAATATTGAATAAACCTGGGTTTGATCAGTTACTGTGTCAATTAGTTTTACAGTAGGTTAAATATATTTGACTTTGCCAGTATCAAGGTAATTGACTTTCTGCCTGCCTTCTCCTGTATTATTCATGTATTACTCTAATAAATTTTCCTCCTACTATCTCCTTACATAGGACATATGTTTCTAATTTAAACATGGCTTTTATCCAACTTTATATTATGACTGAATATGAATGAAGAATCCTTGGATATGACAGAGAATACCAAGGAGTCCACCTAACACTTTAAGAAATCAATCATTCTTTAGGGATATAAAAATACCTTAAAATATTTGCAGTTTTGTTTTAATGAAGCAGTTTCCCTGGGGTCTTTATTTAAACTATCTAAAATAATTGAAATTAATTTCTCCACTTGTAGAACAAATGACGAAGTAAGAACTAGGATTAAAATCTCATCTGTTAAAATCTCAATCATTGACTTTTTTCTATGCCCACATATTTATTAGAGTGGGTCATTGAAAATAATTGTTTTTTTCTGGTTCTAATTAGTATTTACCAGCCTTTGCACATGGCCAGTCCTCATCTGGGTGGCATATTAGATAACTAGTTAAAAATATTCATTCTCTTTCCTCTACTGCCATGGACAGGGCTGCTTTCCACATCCCTCTATTCCAGCTTTTGACAACAGGATATTAACAGATTGGAGACATGCAGAGGTTTGAAAACAACTGTGTGACTGGACTTCTATTCTAATGCCTCAGCCTTCGCTGTGAGAAGAGCTTCTCCTGGAAGTGCTGTCCTGAACAAACACGGGAAGCAGATCTGAGCGCAGACTTTGGCACGGACCGAACCAGCTGGTCCACAGGAGGTCGGCTGACGCCAACTTCCTTGCACCCACGGGAAAGATAAATCATTGTTTCACGCCACTGAATTTTATGTTTTTTCTTTAAGTGCAGAAGATAACTGACATAGAAAGTGACATCTAAAAGGGGGATGCTGCAATAACCAGAATGAAAGATACATGGAGTGAACTTAAGGACCAGGTGGTGGGCAGAGGGCTGGAAAAAATAGTGGTAAAATGTAAGAGGCTGGAAAAATAGTGATATGTGTTATTTATTGATGAAACACATAGTGAAATAATCACTTGTGGTGTCTTGGACAACAGAAAATGGTCCTGACATTACCAGTAGAGTGCCAGTTGACTTTTTGTGGGCACAATGTGGGCGCAATGTGACCAAAGACTTGAAAAATGTTTGGGTCATTGGGCTTGTTCTCTCGTATATCAGCCGTCACTATGAGACGTGCATTCCTGGGCCGGCGCGTCCTCCCTGGGTGAGGTCAACAGACAACCTCCAGGTGGCCCACAGCCTCTAGCTAAGTAAATTCTGATTGTTATATGCCACTGAGATTTTGTGGTTGTTAGTTAAAGCCTTGTTGTAGTTATAATTAACTATACACACACACACACACACACATACATTTTAGGGATAATGTCACTCGAAAAATCTTGGAAACATATTTACAGAACTAGAAAGATGTACCCAGAATAAAATGGAATTCTATTTACATATTTATAAGAAATATAAATTTTCTGGGTAGCAATGCTATGAAAATAATTCAAAATAGAATTAGGCCACAAATGTATTTGTTTAATCCAGTCAGTGGTTAAGCAGCCCATGAGAAAATTGCATAATTATATTTGCGTGAATCAAGCCATAAAACTGAAAGAAGATATGAAAGAATTAGTTAGGACTTAATCTCAAAAGACTCAGGTTGGATAAAACACCAGCACCATTTATAGGACTATGATTTTGAATCCCTTATTAATACAGCAAATATGTTAAAATTAACCAAAAAAAGCTTCATATACAAGTCTCGGTCCTATAAACACTGCCTGTGGAGGGATACAGCTCCCCATTAACGACCTCAGCCAAAAATTGCCAGCAATAAGCAAACTTAGCCCGCTGATGACACTTAAATTGCTTACTTGGATTATTTTTGTCCTAAGTGACTATGTTTGGGATTTTAAGAAGAGTAGGATTAACTATAGAAATAAGGAACACATTGCCAAGTACTAATATTTAGTGTCAAATTAGAAACAATATGCAAAAACCATTGTACATTGAAATATGCTACATATTTGGGTACTTACAAAGTTTTGGATGATAAGGAACATTTGAATATTTAAAATAAATTGAGTATTGGCTTAGACCTGTAATTTAAGTTGAAAATACTGTAAAATTGTATTATGAATACATAAAGTACATAAAATTGCACAATGAAGTTTTTAACTTCATTGGCATATTTAAAAATCACCCCTATTTAGCATTTGAATTTATTAGAGTTACATGAGTAGAACATGGGAATATTCTGTCAGTAATCAAAAATTTAAAAAGGAAAGTAGTATAGTAAATTAATAAAATAATTTTATTAAAGAATATTAACTATATTTATGTGATGAATCATACACTAAGTTTTCTCAAAATTAATTTTGAGAATGATTTTATAAATAGAATAAAAAATTATACTTGAAAATTTGAGAAAAGTCTACAATTTAAATTTACAAATTCAAAATAATACAAATTGAGAAATCAATGTCAGTTTTTAACACTACATTCTAATAAACCAAATGATAATGTTAGCAAAAAAGATCATATTAACATAAAAATGATTTATTATTACTTTTATTATGAATGTTGATGCTCACAAATGTCATCAAAATTACTGAGGTAACTATTCCTTCAAGAATAGTTACCCCAGTAATTATAAGAAGTTCAAGGACATTTCAAACTATATATGAATTAAACTTTCAATCTTAGTTGTATATAAATATAGATGTATATGGATTATAGACTTAGAATAACTCTTCAAAGCCAGTTCATGAAATTAAAATAATATAATTTGCCAAGGTATATTAACATGAATAAATATTTATATTCCTTACTTAAGGTAAATTGGTAACTTTTAAAATATTATCTCCTTAAGTATGATTCTTAGATAAAATAACTGACATTTATTAATTTACTGAAAGAATATTATGTATTTTTACTATGTAAAAAGGTACAATTTAGAGTGAAAGGACAAACAATTCATAAAATTTATTTAATGGCAATGTGATGTGTGGATACTTTTTAGTATAGCTTCAAAAAAAATTCTGTGACTCCTTATCTGCGAACAAGCATTAAGGACATAAGGACATCGCATACTTAAATTTCTGCAGCAGAGGGCACTCTTTAAATCCTTAATTGTCTGGTCTAATCAATTTGTTCTAAATTGATTTCAAAATCGATTGATTACATAGTTAAATCTGTAATTGAAATTTAAACTATCACTATATTATTTGAACTGCCAGTAGGCAACAGAAAGAACAACTAATTTTACCCTAAAGGATATTGCCTATTTTATGCACAAATGCTAAAAAAATTGATAAAGTTCAGCAAAAATACAGTACTTTTTAATATAACAATATAAAAATTTAAAAATTAGATTGCTAAAAATGTATAAAATGTGCAGGATCTAAAAGATGAAGTGTGACACAAAATGAATTTTATGGAAAGATATGATTATATTTCTATGTAATCTTTTGCTATTTTATTAACTACTATGATTCCATAAAAATCGGGCATAAAATTTAGATATCTACACAGGAAAATTAATCAAAATATTTTCCAGAGATGAAAATTCCTGAAACATTAATATCTGGGAAAAAGTATTAATCATTTTGAACTGTGTGAAGTTTCATTGTAATGTATCTAATCAGTATTTTCTTAAAAGTCTATTAATGTCAAATATTATTGCCAGACAAAAATAATTCACTTGTAATAATACGTAGATATCCATTTTTCTATTAGTCCAAAATTTAGGTTAGTATTAAATTATGACTCATAAAAATGTTTACAAATATACTTCCAATGAGTGACATATTTGTCATTTTGAGATTCCACTCCCAACCTTTTATATACTTACACCTTTTAGCAGTAACATCTTTCAGCATCTTTCTGAAAATAGTCACAGCCATATATAGCTAATTTAATTAGAAAAGATGAATTTAAGGAATACTCTTAAAGCCTGGAGGCATCCAGGAGGCCCGGAGACCCAAGCACCGGAGGCAACGTAGCCAGGAAACGGCACCATGTCACCCCGCGGAGCTGCTTCTCTGTAGACCCCACTTCCTGCCGCCTTCGCTGCCGCCTGTTGCCTGTATACTCTCCTGGTATCAGTTATGTGTCTGATAAGCAAATATATTCAGATTAGCTAATTTGAGTAGAAAACGATAATAGCTCAAAGAATCTTTGGAAGAGCCACAGAGGCAAATGGAGAGCATGCACAGCCAGAAACAGCAAAGAAAAAGACATGGAAATCTTCCCACCAGCACCTTAATGGGACCATCTTTTAGGTACAGACATTGAAGCATGACCTCAATACCAGCAATGTGAGGCACAAGATGGTGTCACCAGAGACCAAAGGCCTTGCTGCCTCTGGGATGAGATACAGCTACTGCCACTGCTTCCTCCTCGCCAGGAGTCTGGGTTCTCTTCTTGGAGCATTAGCTTCTGCTTACAAGTCTAGGTGGCTACATCTGAGTAGCTGGTCCTGTGTCAAAGTTTGCACTCTAATTTCAGGGGAGACTGGGATAGAGACTTAGTAGCATTTTTGTACTCTATGCAGAGAAATACACTCTGTCGCACTAGGTGGAAGATTGCCCAAACACAAAAGATACTTCATGGTAAAAATAAAATTGCAGAAGTCCACAAAAATTAATTCAAGATGGACTAAAGACTTAAACATCAGATCTGATACTATAAAACTCCTAGAAGAAAACATAAGGAAAAAGCTCTTAGACATTGATATTGACAAT